GGCTGAACAAAACCCAGAATTTTGCTTCTTACATCAATCTGGATATCCTGAATAAGTGCACTCTCTGACTTGAAGACCTGCTGATGAACCCTCCTATTCCTCTCCATCCACACATGATAGACAGAAGCATTCCATGTTAGCTTGATTAGGGTGTGATATAAAGACTTCCTTCGAATCCTCTTACCCAGCCAATGCATTAGGCTTTGCCAAGAATCAGTAAAAGGTATACCAGTTATAAAACAAAGCTGCTGCCATATATTACTGGTAAAATTGCACTTAAAAAACAAGTGCTCATTTGTCTCCGAACTACTATTGCATAGGATGCAAGTGTCAGCAATTGTAGGCGTCCATTTCTTTTGTCTAACTTTTGTGGTTAGCCGGTTGAGAATGGCTAGCCAACTAATAAAGCTATGCTTAGGAATGGCATGATAAAACCAGATTAGCTTGTGCCATGCTTTTCTGCCCTGTTTCCTTCTCAGCCAGTTCCAAGTCTGTCCAGCTTTGTAACTTCCAGATGTAGATGGCACCCACAACACCTGATCTTTCTCACTTTGCTTTGGCCAAATGCTAAATAGATGCATTTGAATTTGTACCAATTGAGGTGACCTAGCCGGGGGCCATTTCCAAAAATCGCCACTAATTACACATGCTAGCTTTGCTTGAGAAGGTATCCCTGTATCTCTTACAATAGAATCACCATAAGTCTCTAATAATGGCCCACAGGGGTGCCAATGATCATGCCAAATATAAGTATCCATGCCATTACCCGGGACATGCTTAATAAGCTTCCTAGCTACCTTTCTCAATTTGAGGATTTTCCTCCACCCCCAAGATGCATTAGCTGGTATATTAACAGTCCAAAAGCTTCTGCCCTTTAGTAAGTATTCATGGGTCCAAGCTACCCAAATAGATCCTGCTCTTGTAAACAGCATCCAAATGAATTTTAATATACAAACTTGGTTCCATAACATCAGATTTTTGAGCCCCAAGCCACCCTCATGTATAGGAGAACATACAGTTTCCCAATCTACTTTGGCCCCTTTAGCACTATGCATGTCATTGTTCCACAAAAAGGCACTGCAGATTCTCTCCACTTCCCTTATGACCCCCTTTGGCAAAATAAAGACAGAGCACCAAAAATTAGTGATGCCTAGAACAACCGAAGATATCAGTTGTAATCTTCCTGCAAAAGAGAGATGTTTTGCAGCCCATGAGGTCATTCTCCCAGTTATTTTAGAGATCAAAGGTTGAAGATCATGCTTAGTCAATTTCCCTGTAATTAGTGGGACTCCTAGATACCAAAAAAAAAAAAAAAACATTACTAATTCGGAAACCACTAGGCCCCACCTCAAACTATATGTGCTTGTTCCACCACTAATGGTGGCTTCTCCCAAAAAAAAAAAAAAAGAATAAAATAATCGAAACGTCACTTCCACTCTCCTCTCTCCTCACCTTCCCGCTCTCATTTCCTTTCACCCTTTCGCTGTTCCTGCATTCGGCGTC